TATACTTTATTGTGTACATATTAATAGGACTGCATGTCGAATTTAACAGAACAACAGACATTTCTTTCCGAAAAATCATATAATATTTTTTAAGCTTTAATTTTACAATTTATAATATTGACACTTGAGAGTTTATTATATCATATTATTATTATACCGATTTGGTATCAGGATTTGGGTCTTATCAGCAGCGTCTGTTTAAAGTCTTCTATATTCTATGTATAACTATTATAATATGGCTCTATATAGCCGCCCAATTAGCTCCATTCGATTTCAGATCTGTCCGTATTGTATGTGCGTATTGTGTAAAAATAATATTTTTTTCTCCAACAGACACACACACACACACGGTAATCTCGAAGTGTACACCGTTTCGGGCTATCTTAKGCTCCTGTACCTGTTTTTATCGTCAATTAAACCTAGAAACCCTATACAGTAAACACGATGTATGTATTAAATGTATATACTGTATACAATATATGTTTAGCCACCGTAAATCTGCAACGATAATAACGATGATATTAATAATATTGTGCGCTGCGGCGCGAGCATTTTCGCTCCACTATTTTATTATATTATAAATATAATAAAATTATTATATATATATATATATATGTATATATACCACTTTATTATACGAGTATATGTGCAATTCACGTGGGACACGACGACGATACATAATGCACTTGGCCGTTTGTAGTTATTATTTTTTTTCTGTCCCTCTTTCTACTCGCGTTCGTTCGGTGCGTTTTATTTTCTCTTCGACATCGTTAACAATTTAATTCCTTATTATTATGATTATTATTTTTGCCCTGACACTTGATGTATAGCTACGATTGGCGTCGTATACCGCGAAAAAATACCACTGTGCCTAATCCCCCTGTCCGGTTCATGTGGATTATTTTCACCTCAATCACTTGGTGATTCCCCCCTCGATGTCATACTCTCAGCTAATGATCGTAAGCCAATCGTGGCCGAATGTTAACGATACTCCGCCACCGTTAGAAATGGTTTCGAGGATTTTTTCTTTTAAATTCTCATTAAAAATATCCAGTGCGATGTTTTATATTACAGTTCATCTGGTGCGTACAAAAACAATCGGAATCGATAAAAATTTGTTTTTAATATTATATTTATTTCCATATATCGTGTTTCCAAGAACCTAACAAATACACTGAAAATATAGTCTAATAAATTAATTTAACCAACTCCTGTAGTATACCTCTTCTTAATTTACAATGTAGTTAAAACGTTGAAATTGTATGCAATAATATAATCAAATATTTTTTTTCAGGTACCGAGCTCATGAGTTGAAAGATCCGAATTTAAATTTGTATAATAATATATATATATATATATATATTTAACATTAATTGAAAATATCCATATGGATTGATAATTTATTACATTTATTTATATATATAATTATACACACACATCTGCGTATGTATATAATATTATATTGTTTTGATTTTTAAAGTAGGTGACTATTACTAAATAGTTTTTTTTTTAAACACTTTTGTATATATAATATTAGTGTTTATGTTAGTATTTATTTCAGGCTAAATTTTTTAAACAAGTATATTTTTATATTATTAAAAAAAAAAATGTTTTTAAATGCTTTTTTTTAGACAGGGATACTTAAATTTATTTGTTTATTCGAGTAAAGTTATATTTGTGTAAGCGCGTGTGTCGATCATATTAAAATACTGTCATTTCTTCACCAATTGACGTAATCGTTGCGAAACCACAGGAGAGAATATCGTTTCAAACTTTTGTTGTTATATCGTAATCTTTAACTTATTATTATTATCATTATCATATTATAGTATTGTATATAAATATTTTTTTGATAGCAACAAGACACTGAAAAGTTTTAATGAGATGTTATATGTGTTGCGTGTGTTATATGATAATGAATTACTTACTATTTTTGTATCTTGCTTTGATGTTAAATTTTTGCACATATATTCTTTGTGTGTGAAAATAAAAGTAATTATTATCATAATAATAAAGAAGAGGAACAAAAAGATGCCAAAAAAATGTATTTGTCAATGTTTTTTTTTTAAATTTTTTCCGATTGACGGTCAGTGTTCTTATTAGTATGCAGGTGGTTTAAATTTCTCGATACTACTGTATATTAGCCAATAGTAACATAACTTCCGTTCCGTTATCATTGAGTGAAATATAATCAGTCAAAATATAGGAGTGAGAGCGTAAACAACATGAATCCATTTATTATAATATTCGTGGCTCCATAATATTGTCGTCATATAATAACCCGCAACGATGAATGATTTATAGTGTACCAGCGGTGCAAAGTTGCTCAAAACTCTGTGAATGCATCACAAGTCGTCGTGATATTGTTGTTGTTGTTGTTGTTGTTGCGATGTCGGTGCCGATGACAGGGTTTTCAACTCGGTTATTTGCTGCCTGCGTCCATTGCTGTCGAAGCTGTGGGGGAGCGCTTGAAAACTTATTCGGGCGGTGACGTCGTCGTCATTGTTTCTGCAGTTTTTCTGACAATATATTATAGTACCTATAGATATACCCCCGAAGACGAGACTCATTATTTTTGATATTGAAACATAATTCATGACATCATTTTACATGATACTTGCCGAAAATGCGAGGAAATGGCATAAAATATATTCGTGCATGTTTTTACCTTCAATACATATTAAATGATAATTTATTATGCACTAGGTATGTGTATATAGTGTATGAGTGTGGTCCACGCACCGACTTTGAGTATTTTCGATGTTCGATCTTTGGCGAGTGTACACAAATGTAAATTGTAAAGCAGTGTTTAATATGCAGAAGGGTGTTGTGTTTTCTTTTAGTTTTGAGGTGTCGTGGGTGGGGAGAGGAACTCGGCCAGTAACGATTTGTTTAAAATACGCACGTATTTTTTCATAATTCTAGTTTACTTTGTTTTCTGTACTCATTTTTATAATTGATAATAAATTCTAATGGTTCACTTAAAAAAAGTAAAAAAAATGTGTTTATTTTTCAACATTGTCATTATAGGTACCTTAATCATTAAAATTAGCACAGTGAATTTAAATGTGGTGATGTTTCATAGTTAAATTGGATAAGTCATTKATAGGAGACGGGGAGAATATATCCCATAGAGATGATAATATACAATCAAATATAAATTACATCTTTCCTCATTCAAAATTGCAGTGTAAATAAGAAACCAATATATAACTGGTTAACTGTTATAGTGGCATCCCCGGGAGGGGGGACCTATTTTCAATCATTCAAATCTACTCCTCGCACCTGTGTCTAACTATAATAATCTATTGGCCTATATTGTGTCGATCGAAAATTCGTAAGTTATTTTTATACGCTACCTATTAAAAATTGCGTTCATTATTGATTATATTGATAAAAAATCGTAACTTTTATAGCTTCTGTCAGGTGCGTGATGTTAGTGGGAAAATTCGAGTTCTAATTTTCGCTAGGTTTACCATTATTTAGTGCTCGATTAGTGCTATTGAACTGTAGCATTTTCAAAATTTGCGTAATGCTCCGTATAAACAGTTACGTGTGGAAGCTTTCTCCGCTAACTTTACGTAGCTGATTCAACGGTGAGTATAGGTTACTCTGTATAGTAATTGTGATTAGGTATTAAATTTATAATTACAATTTTAACGATAATTGACTGTTTGCAGCAGATTTTGCAAACGACTGTTAGTCCCTATAGTTACAGTTATATGGTTGTTGATAGGAAAATTATTATTGTAATAAAGAGAAAAATATTATTATACTGTTATGCAATCATAAGGGCTCTTCCGGGGATATATCTATACATACCACACACACACATATATATATATATAATAATGAATGTGGTCAATCCGTGACGATACTAAAAATCATTTATCTAATTATTTTATAATGTGGTCGCGTAATAATAGTGTATACTGTGATGGAACGTTTAAAATCGCTCCAGCTATTTTTTCTCAAGTTTTTGTGATACTTGCTGAAGCTTTTGGAGGTTTACACCCACTTATATACGCTCTATTGCCCAACAAAGAAGAAAAAACATACACTCATTTATTTAAAATGTTAAACTAATTAAAACTTGGATTAAACCCGACTTCAATATCTTGCATGTGATTTTGAACAAGCGATATTAAAATCTATAAAAATTGTGTAGGTATCGAAAACTTTTTGTTTTGTAATGATATGCTCACATATCATGATTGTATGTTGTTTAAATTCACCACCCAACACTAAAACAACCTCAAGAGTGCAGGAGCACCTAAAAACTTTTCGACACCAGACATTGCGAGCGACAGCTGGACCGTTTCTTTTTTAAATCGAAATTTAACAGTGTTGTTTTTCTTTAATCTGAGTGTTTAATAAAAAACCTTTATTTATCTTATTACGTCAACTGCATATCAAACACAGCTGCGAATAAGGTAAGGTGCATGCGCATCAATATTCATATATTATATTGTATTTATTAAATTTTTTATAATTTAATAATTAATATTTTGTTATTACGGTGTACTTGATCGTTCTCGAATCACGACCTCGAGAACACTCCGACGATCAGGAGGAAGGTAATAGCGCAATTTTAATATTTATATCTGGTAGCCTATTCTCCAGCTCTTATAAGAGTAACTCAATAAATCAACCAAACACCATTTTATTTCTAATATCTTCTACTAATTAATATAACTATTGGCAGGAGCCTTAGTTATATTTATTAGTTGTATTAACTGTATTATTTTAGTTGAATTATATTTTATTTTTATTTTATTTCTTTTAATTTGTTTTTGCGTTATTACAAAGTGGCGCCCAACGGGGGCTCGAACCCACGACCCCGAGATTAAGAGTCTCGTTCTCTTAGTTATTTTTATTTTACCATTAGACGTTTTAACACTTCTGTGTAATAGCAAGTGCTTTTCAAAGCTTGTCTTAGATAAACAATTTTTTTGACATATATTACATATCATTTTTGTTTTGTTGCTTGGAATGAATATTTAACTTATAATATTTAACTTGTTGCGTGTAGTGAACTCCTTATTGCAATCCTTACTCTTTTCACTTCTGTTTTGAATATTTGAAACAATGTTTTGGGATTTTATTATGCTACCATTTTTGTTTTGATTTTCCTCTTTCTTTTTGTCTAATATCAGTTTTCTTTTTGAAATTTTGCTTCTTTTAGAATGGCATTTCATATGACCGTTTAATGCTGATTGAGATTTGAACGATTTAGTACACAAATTACATTGATGGAGCTCGAAACTACCCTTTGAAATGTTTTTACAACTATCAAGATGATTAAGAAATTACAATACACATACGTTTTGAGTCAAATTGTTCGGCTCATTTCGTTGTACTGATGTTTCTGATTGTTTTGCTAATTTCGAGTTTGATGTASAATTGTTGTTGTCCCTACTTGAATTTATTGACAAACTACTTCTTGAAGTAGTCGGTATTTCTTCAAAACTTGTGGATGGATTTGCCATGCATAGATAATTATCACAGTTATGCACATTCAAATGAGCACTAAGAGAAAATTTTGCATTGCAAACATCACAAACGTAAGGTTTACTTTTATGTTTTAAATTTTTATGGACTACAAATTTTTCAAAATTATMAAAATTAGCATGGCATATTTTGCAATCAAAATTTTTATTTCCGTTAACATTTTTCTTTGTGTTTGAATATGTAATAATCTCAGTTATAGTTTTTGTTTGGATTTCTTCAATCACATCAGTAGCTTCAACATTATTCCTGAATTTCCTCATCGAAGATTGCCATGAAGTATGTTCTATTCTAGTTCTTGAAGTTTTGTGTATCTCAATTTTTTTATCATCTTCCAGACACTCCTGTTGCGTTGATCTAGTAGGAGTATTTAACTCATTTAATGATTCTGACGTACTCTTATTTTTATGATTCAGGCCAGTATACTTTTCTATCTCCTCTTCAGTTAATCGTGTAAGTATAATACGAGGATATAAATTTAAACCAGTGAATTTCATAGACATTTCGGAGTATTATTGTTATTCGTACTGTTTGTCAAGATGTAGGCAATCGGACTATGGTAATTCCGGATTTCCGTTAAAACTTGATTTGTGAACGGTCGACGGTACAGAACTGTACTTGAGTTCAACTATGTTCAATGGTCCAAGATAAATTAGAAGGTTAATTCATTGTGTTATGGCAAGTGTGGCTGAATGCGCAGAGGAAGTATTGTTGCACAAGGCAGGCACGTTTTTGTACTGACGCTACAATAAAAACTGATACATCATTAAATGGAAACGCAATAATACTAGGTTGTTACATTTGACGCACGAACGTCGTAGTAAACGTCGTTATAATAATCCTGTGTACTATTGCATAATATAAAAAAAAAAATTGTAAAAAATAATCTAAGTTAAGTTGATATAAGTATGAAAAATAAATAAATAAAATATTTATTCAAAAAGTCAAAAATAAATAATACTAAAATAAACAAATAAGCTAATAAAATATTTAAAAAAAGGAGTTTAAATAAGACAAATCCTATAGAGATAACAAAATAAATTAAGTACAAAGTACAATTAAGTAGTCATAAGTCAAATATTACCAACTGTAAAATTAGAAATTAAGCAAACAATATGTCATTACATACAAAAATGTTAAAACTTAATAAATTGTAAAGTAATCATTATCATCCACCAGTTAGGAATYTTAAATTTAAAAATAAAATAGTAACATTAATAAAAATAGAGCAACAATGGAATAGGAGTGGAAGAAGACTCAAGCTTCAGTCCTGTACACATATTCCTATATTATATGTAAGCTCAAATCATATTATAGTCGACCCTTAAATTTTGTATAAAAAAAAAAAATTAATTACCCAGTTACATTGTATTCAAACTTTTTGAACTTTCAGCTTTCAACTTTCAACTCTCTCTAACGTCACAATTGATGTATCACGCTGACACTCACCTGTATAAGTGGTATTGTGAGGGCACAACACAAAAAAGCGTAGGGTGGATGTAATGATATGCTCACATATCATGATTGTATGTTGTTTAAATATTCAATAAAATAAATAACACCATTGTCCACTGATGAAAGGAACGATTTATATTATTTAGTTACATGGGAACTTATACGTAGTTGTGACTATCTGGCACAACACGTGTAAACTATTTCGTGTGCCACCAGAGCAGGGGATGGTCCAATGAGGATCTCTGTTGCCAAAGACAATGCTAAGTCTTTGGAAACGCAGAGGCCTTTGGTGGAGCCACGGAGCCACCTACAACCCTGGCTGGCTGGACCACGTCGTCTCCTTCCATCAGTGCATGAGCACCACTCTTAAGTGCATGAGCACCAYYCAACACTAAAACAACCTCAAGAGTGCAGGAGCACCTAAAAACTTTTCGACACCAGACATTGCGAACGACAAATGTTGTTTTTCTTTAATCTGAGTGTTTAATAAAAAACCTTTATTTATCTTATTACGTCAACTGCATATCAAACACAGCTGCGAATAAGGTAAGGTGCATGCGCATCAATATTCATATATTATATTGTATTTATTAAATTTTTTATAATTTAATAATTAATATTTTGTTATTACTGTGTACTTGATCGTTCTCGAATCACGACCTCGAGAACCCTCCGACGATCAGGAGGAAGGTAATAGCGCAATTTTAATATTTATATCTGGTAGCCTATTCTCCAGCTCTTATAAGAGTAGAGAACAATACATATCCTTTAGTGTAACTCAATAAATCAACCAAACACTATTTTATTTCTAATATCTTCTACTAATTAATATAACTATTGGCAGGCGCCTTAGTTATATTTATTAATTGTATTAACTGTATTATTTTAGTTGAATTATATTTTATTTTATTTTTGCGTTATTACAGTTTATAAAAAACTATGTGATTTAGGGATTGTATCAAATTATCAAAATAATGCTGATTACTCAATCTGAGTGAAAATGGTTGTAGCATTGACATTCATCCCACTTAATTATATTGATTTAGCAATTGAGGTATTGTCGGAATACTTACCAGACGAATTAAAATTCTTATTACTTTATTAGATTGATTTGAAGACAATTACGTTGGACGAATTAATAGAAATGGAAGGGGTCGTCGGTTACCTTTATTTCCACATTCCACCTAATATTAATTGGAGTATGTATAATAAGAGTTTTAAATGAGAAAAACAGAACCAACCATCACGCCGAAGCTGCCAACAGAAGATTAAATATGGAGATGGGCGTTAACCATCCAAGTTTGTGGTCTTTTATAACGTGTCTTCAAAAAATACAAGCAGGTAGAGACTTTTATTATGTAAATTAGAAGCAGGAAACAGTCGTCCTAAAAAATAAAAAATATATACTGATGTTGATAAGAGGATTTTAAAAATAGTTTAAAATTATGAACAAAGGGGAATTTTGACATTTTTGAGAGGGAAAGCCCAAAATATTTCTGTACAATTAATAAATATTTGAATAAAATGTGTGCTTATAAACTATAATGTTTTATGATTGTTCTGCTATATAATTAATATTTTATCGTCATAGGTATATGTAAAAATATTGAATAATTATAATTTATCCTCTCACTCGAACGGCTGCGTCTAAATGACTTCGCGTCTAAACGGTCGCACCCATTTGTCCTAGAACGATATAATTATATGTAGTGAAGTGCCAGATTATATTATTATTTTCTCTATAGTAGTCTATACTGGAGAATATTTTTTGAGATGACAAATTGTGCCACCTTTGGGTAAATAATTTAAATAATATTTGTTTTTACCCCATTTCTTAGTTTTTATTCTTCTCAAATGACAAAATCCAGGATCGCCTGCACTTATAGTATTCGTAGTATTCATTACATTTCATAATATTTCCGTATTCGGTTAAAATGGTTGATACATCGCGCTACCGACAAATAATTTTCTCTATATAATTAAACAGAGAACGGATTTATATGTAAAGACATATTTTTATGAAAATACCCGATAAGTGATTTTAAAGTGTTCAATTTAAAACATAAAGTACTAACATATTGCCAGTACAGTGGTACCATAGAGTAATAATACTAGATATTATTATCTGCGGTAGAATTGTACGGTTGGTGGTACTACGCCGTTCGCGTATACCATAAAAAAAATATTTGTTTTCATAGCGTTAAATATTGTACTTGATTATTAGGTGTATCGTGATTTCACGACTAGATTACACGCAGCAAGTATGCGCCTACATTATAATTTTTACTGTAATATCGTATATACACGTCATATATTATTAAACTTTCTATATATGTATCTTTATTGGTATACCAACGTATGGCTGTATCGTATATGTCTATACCTACTGCTTAAATCTGTCAATTAGATGTTTAGGTATTAGTTGGTAGTTAGATATGCGTTCACTATATTATAATGTAGGTAGACTATTAAGTATTATAATTTATTATGTTTTATTTATCCTATATACCGAAAACAAAACAATAGTCTCGTGCCATTTCTTGCTGTACGCCGACGCGCTCGTACCTTTTATTCACGTATATGTAGGCAGGTATAATACGGTTTGTATATATTATTATGTAATTATTACAAATGCACGCGTTCTTGGATTTTTTTTTCTACTCAAAAACTGTTATTTAGTAATCGCTCTATAAATGTACGTCCGACGTTTTACCGGGACGTCCCTACCGTCGACCACCCAGGTGTGCGAGCGAGTGAGTTTTTTCCGTTCTTTTAGGATTTTTTTTTCTGTTTTGATAAACGTCAAAATTTTTACGAATATCGTCGTTGGACGTCAGTTCTCGAGGCGTAAAAAATGCCAATCTCCCAGCCCGCATATATTCCATAATATTAWAGAGTGTTTTCATGGAATTTAAAACACCGCGACCTTAGTACACTGGTACACTGTTCAGTATAGACAGTATAGTGGTTCAGGTGTTCATGTGTTTAATATTTTTGGAGGGTCATTTTAGAAACAGAGGAAGCTTTTGATGCCCATTTTAACTGTTTTGGTTTGTGTAAACGACTTAATTTTTTTTAACAGCAAACCATTATTTATGTCACTAGATGAGTTAAATTTATCTTGTGGTAATTTTGATTTAGTGACTATAATATAATATCATTCTAATCTTAAAATGTACTGAAATATWTAGGTATTTAAGTTTTCAAAATTTAAAATTAATCGATTTTTTTGATTGCTTCAAAAAATTAACACACCCGTATTCACAATTTTTTTGGATTCGCGTTAATTATGTAATTGAGTACCCTTTATAGTTATTTCACAAATCCATATTTCAATCTTAGACAAWTGGTCTGAGTTATTTAGTGGTACATAATATGAGATTACTAGACGTACCTATTTCTGTATATTATTTCAGCAATTCAATAATTGATTTTTTTTWTATAGTTATTTGTAGGCACAAAGGTATATAGGTACTTATAATTTATACGATATTTTTAAATTGTATTTAAAATATCTTTTAAATACAGTCAGTTCAGTTGTTGCGAAAATAATTACTTCGTGTTACATGCGGTTCCAAAGCATTTTGAGGTACACAGTACATTTTSCTGACAAGTAGATCTATTTGCTTTGCACGATGTTATGCAAGAACATTTTTGATAACTCAGCCTTTCAAATTTCGAATGTATTTTAGCTTTTTATCTTAATGTTATTATTATTATTATTATTATTATTATTGGTATACTTCGTCATGAAATGTTGCATCGTTTGTTCGTAGAACACTTCTGTCTAACCACGTGTATCAAACCGTGTACTAATTCGGTAAACATT